TACAGGAGTTTTTGCAAATTGTTGTTCTTAAAATAGTATGAAATCACTGTTTCAACAATCAAATTTTTAAATTATGAAAATCTCATTTTTAAATCTTGGTTTTAATATTTTTTGTAATTTTTTATTATATTTAGATTTTATATTTATTTTCTTTATAGTTTTAAATTTTTATTTTATTTTTTAATTGAGGTAGAGTTTATGGTTTATTTAAAGCTTTGTAAACCTCCTAAAGAATTATTATTTAAAAAAAAAAAAATATGCAAACCTGAGGTTTATATTGCAGCCTCTTAGGCTTCTTCTTCTTATTATTATTTTATTTGTTGTTATAACAAATTTTAGAGGATATTATAATATTTTCAAAAATATATTTTTATTTATCTTTTAATTTCTATTTATCTCTTATGAACTAACGAACAATAAAGATACTCGTAATTCTATGATGAGCATAAGAAAATATCACCCAAAAAAACCGTCCCAGAACTAGCACAAGACATTGCATTGAGCCATCAACCTGAATTCTAGATGATTATGAGAGCAATGTTGAATTATATTTTTCATTGACACCTTTATCCGAGATATCGCCATCGTATGGGTTTGGTTCCATCAGAATTCTTTTATTTTAAATAACAACTATTCCTCTTCTATACAACAATGGGATTTAACTACTGAATGAAACTGGCTAGCTCTGGCCTCTCGAATCATCATGCCGAGGTTTCCAATAAAAAGAACAAAAAAGGGTTAGGTAGGGGAGGTCTCTTTGAGGGTGGGGCCTGCCTGGGGGACTATAAATCAATCCTGTTGGATCATGGACGGAATACTTTATACTTCTTCAAAGTTGGAACAATCATGCATGCCAAACGTAAGAATTTTGACTTTGTTTTTTTTAAGGGTGCATCTTTTCTAAATTAATATTGTCAGAATACCAAACACATTCTGTAAATTAATCCTGTTGGATCATGGATGGTAGGGAGGGTGGGGGGGTTTCATGAAGGGGTTTAGACAAATCTTTTCTAAATTAATACTGTCAGAATAAGAAATCATCGTTAAATCATTATTTCTTAGAGTATACCTTGAAACATTCCTTTAAAATGAATCTTCTAGTTGTGAATTAAACTTATGTCCCAGATCTTTGTTGCAAACAAATTTATTTAAAGTACATTTTTTTTTAATTTTTCGTTCTATACAAAGCATATTCGGTGGGATGTTTGAATTCAGAGTGCATTCGGCAGGCTTGGATTCTAAATGCTGATCATATACAATTTTGACTGGAATTCAGGTGCATTTTCACGGCTTGTTCTGGGCCAAGGAAAGCAAAGTTCAAGGTTGGAGGCATCATGAACATTCCATGGAGAACTATAAATTAGTAAAGGAATCGGAGAATCGGGCGAGTTGGGTTTCAATACTGGAAAAACAGTTGCCAATTAGAAATTAATCTAAAATTAGGTGAGACTTATGGAATTGTCGAGAGACGTGTGGAAGCAGGAAGAAAATAAAAAGGAAAAGGAAAAAACAATAACGAAACTTCTTAGGAAGATTTTCTTTAAAGAAATTATAATTTTTTTATCTGAAGCAATTATATAAGGAATTTATTCGTTTTTATATATACAAGAATATCGATGTGAGATATATACTTATTAATATTGTTTTTAAATAAAATTCGAAACTTCTTAGGGGGATTTTCTTTAAATTTTTGTAAATTTTAATTTGAAGGTATTATAATAAGGAATTTATTCTATTAAATATATAAGATGAATGTGAATATATACTATTGGAATTCTTTTTAAATAAAATTTAATTTGCATTAACGAATAATTAAACTAGTTTAAAGAACCCTTCCTTCTTATATCGAAGACAGAACCCTTTTTCTCCAGCTAGTCGCTGTCCCCGGATGAAGGATCGATGTTGTATTTTGCTCTCTGCAAAATAAAAGATTCATTCACAACTTCTTCGACGCAAAATAATTTATATAGCCGACCGCAGTCAAAGGTTGATTGTTGTTATTGTCATGTGATGAAGTATCCAAACGCAATCTCCATGAAGGGCAATGGCTGCACGCATGCATATATAAAACATGTATTGAAGTGTAAGTTATAGTTGATTTTTAAATTAATTTTTATTTTTTTTAAATTATTTTTAACATCAATGTATTAAAATGATATAAAAATATAAAATAATATTAATTAAAAATTAAAAAATTTTAAAATACAAAACAAACTAGACTATCATCCTTTTAATCAACCGATAGATTTAAAAATTATAAAGCAGCTTTCCTCGTGGTGCTTTTGCTCCGGTAATAATATATCTACCTGATCATCGAGGATATTGCGAGCGGTTGTCGTTCTGTGCATTGCTTCGAACAAAAAGTGAGGATGACTCGCTAAATCATGTTGGGTTTAATAACCTTGCTTCATACATGCGGACATAGCTTAGCATATTGGAAGCACAAATGGCTAATATTGTTAGTGGCACTGTTAAACAGGGTTAACGGGGAAAAAAAAAACCTATTAAATTACGGGCCTCCTGCCAGCCTCCCCGGCTCCGTTCCTGGAGTATTCTAACATACTGGAATAATTGTCGAGTGGTAAAGAAATTAATGAAATTGATTCTTTTGCTTATTTTGGGCACCACCACCACCTTTTCTGGTCACTAGGTTGAGCAGACGTCAACATGAAGGCGTAGATCCAGAGCCGAGTTTTCCTTTGCTTCCCTCGATAGTCAATGCTAAGCGCTATGAACGGATTTTGCTTGGCAGTTTTTTTTTTTAATATTTTTTATTTAAAAATATATTAAAATAATATTTTTTTTATTTTTAAAAAATTGTTTTAATATTAATATATTGAAATGATTTGAAAATATAAAAAAATTAATTTAAAATAAAAAAATTAAAAACAATTAAAAACACTTTTAAAATATAAAAATAAATAGCACCTACTCACATTCATTTATGGGCTGCTTTGGCAATATATATACATCAAAGGTATTTTTACAACGTTTAGGTCGTCAAGAGTAACTCTTTTAATTAGAGTTACGATTGATAATATATGCTCGTCGGCCAAAATTAAGACTCTCCATAATTACCCCATCAAAAACCTGTTGGTTGCTTGGCTATGAAATGGAGGTAGTCTCTTTTGGATAATTTAAAAGAAATCCGAAGTACTGGAGCTAGTGTGTGTGTGTGTGTCTATATATATATATAATGACGGTCACCAAGACATTTATAACCTAAATATTTCCTTGTCTTGTAGATAGATATTGATAGTTTTTGGCTACCCTATTGAGGCCGTATGGAACCTGAATATGGATAATTCATAGTCAATGGCCATTATTATAGTCAACATAGAATTTAATAGGTTTTGGATTATTTTTAAATTTCAATGGTTTTGAATCGAAATATTGTTTATTCATGACGCGGGTTTATTATGTGCTAAAATATATGACATCACAGTACAGTTCTTCATATCACCAGAAATGCTACCATGTAGAACCCCCCTACTGCTCTGTGCCCAGGTAAAATCGAGTAAAATCCTATTCCACTCTGTCCTCCGGTGCTTCAATTCATTGTAATTGATCAGAAAAGGAAGAAGAAGAAGAAGAAGTAGTCAGTTGTATACAACCAAGGTCAGAAGGTCATCTGAATGCCTAACAGGGAGAGAAATCACGAATTTATTTTTATTGATTTTTTTCTCTTTTCATAAATAGTTTTTCGTAGTAGATGGGATGATTTTTTATTCTTAATTGTGTGCATGTCTTATCCAGCACCATCTACTTGGAGTTACTTAGTGTCAGTATTGATTTTTTTTTTTTTATTTGAAAATATGTTAAGATAATATTTTTAATTTTTTAAATTTATTTTTAACATAAACATATTATAAAGATATAATAATATTTAAAAATTAATTTTAAAATAAAAAATTAAAGAAATTTAATTTTTAAACAAAGATGTGTATCCCCACGATATATCGATAACAAAGTAATAATATAATATGTCATGATCATATATATTTTTAAAAATATATTTGTACCTAAAATCATATTTTAATATTATATGTCAAAAACACAAAAGAAAACCCTATAAACCATCGAATTTAATGTTTTCAAGTCCAAATATATTTTTTAAGGAACACCAACATCACATAGTTGATGTGATAAAATTCCCGAAGCACGTTCCAAATGGTCATTCGAGCTTCTTTCGGCCGATTCAGTCGGGCAGCGCCAATTCGATGCTCTTATTCCCTTCTTCCTCGAGCACAGATAAAGATGGTGAAGAGGTAGCGTTGGGCCAAGGGGCAATAAGAGCTGTCTCTCTAAATTAATAGCACTGGAAGTCATAATTAAAGGCTAAAATCTGTTCAGTTGCAGCTTTGCAGGCCCATTTTCTACACCAATAATAGTGATTTGCTATATGCACGTCGCATCCTGGTGTTGGACCATGGGCCACGAGGCATCTCTTAGCCTGATAATTTAAAATTATGTTTATTTTCCAATAAAATATTAGTGGTTAGTTAAACTTAATAATGTGTTTGGTTTTTAAAATCATTGAGTTTTATATTGTGGGATTTATTAAAAAATTGAGTTTAAAATACAGTTATTGTGCAATAGTTTCTACATGTTTTTTAACTTAATTTTGTAAATATTCATGATAAGCTAAAAAAATTTATCCAAGTATTTTACACATTTTTTATTGTATATAAACTTTAACTATAATTTTTATCAAATATATATTTAAATTTAACTAATTACAACTAAAAATATTTTTAAAAAACTTATTTTGTTTCAAATCACAATCATAAAAATTAGCTCAAAATCAAACAAACCTTAAAAACTCATATTCAAACTAGTATAAAGACTAATTAATAGACAAGCAGCAAATTATTATCTTGCAGAGGGATTGTTTTTTATTTTGGGTAAAAAAACTGATCAAACTAAAATTTATATTTTTTAAAATTATGAGTTAAATCAACCAACCAATTCAAATAAACTAATTTCATTTGTTTTTTTTCTTTAAAAATCAGTTAGATACATGTCTATTTAATTAGGTTTTTTTGGACCTTTTATAATGCATCTGAGTTTTGCTAAGCTTATTTTGAGTTTTATTTCATGATGTACCTAAAGTGTTTCTTGATAACGGACCAACAAAGGAAATAACTACGTTGTCATCTACTGCCGGCAGGGACTCCACAATAATCTTAGTTGTCATCCCCACCACACACCATAGCCATTGAGATCACCCCAGTTGGAGACTCACGCCAGAAAACAAGGGCACATAAGATCAATGTCAAAGCATGATACAGAGGTCCTCTTAGCATCTCCCTCCGAAGAGAAAAAAACAGCATAAGATGAGCTTTACTTGCTCAAACGACGAGGGGTAAAATTACAGCCACAAGAAAACAATGAGATAATGAGAGGATTTACTGTGGATCTCCTTCTCGAGTGAATGATTTAATGAGCCCTTCATTAGTAACCAAAGAGAAGCCATGTATAACCAGCCTCAAGCAATTCACGAGAGGTACTTAATGAGCAAAGTAGCGAGCCTGTGTTGTTGTGCTATTCTAGGATCAAACATTATGAAAAGCTGAGGTACAGGTTAAAGCATGAAAAACTCAAAACTCAAATCACAAGTTAATACCACGATTAAATTTTCTGGAGGTTTTTAAAGAATCCCACTAAGGACTGGTGCCTGAAAATGGGCCAAAAAATAGCAAAATCAAAGAAATCCCATCAAAGATTTATTTATACCTGAAAATAGGCCAACAAGCAGCAAAAATAGAGCCTGAAATTATATGAATTAATTTTCTGCTCAGACTTTGTTGAATGCGGTTTCGCTGAGTGAGAGTATCAAAAGTCAGAACGAGACCGTAAGCCCCAGCTAGGAGTGACGGATATGCCATGATTCCTTTGTTTTTTATCTTTCCTGGTAAAAACTAATAAGGGTAGGGGTGATTTTGCTTTTCATGGGAAGCCTAAAGGTACCTTTCTTAAGTTGATGCCGTTATCATCTGCCCTCCACGAGGCCGTCCTGTGCGTAATCGAAAGGACAAGCCATTTATTCATCCTCCTGTGGGAAAACTAACAGAACCTACAGAAAAGCTGAAAGAGCAAATGCTAAGTAAGAGCCTATTACACAAAAGGTTAAGAACCTCGAAAAATCCATATTCTACTGCGAATGTTTACTGACTGAAATAGGTATACAATTATCTTCAGTTCTGATGTATAATCAAGAAGAGAAAAGCTAGCTGCACTACCATACATGACAGGACAAAGAGCACAGCAGTAATCCACAGATACAGGTTGAAGTGAAACTTCTTCTTCTTAAGAGTATCAATCAAACTTCACACTATAACATGTCGTATGATCCAAAGAGAGGAACATATAATAGCCCATGTTAACCCAAGTTTCGATGATACAAAATAATGCAACCACCAAAATTTTAGAATACTTTTCTAGCGATAATAAAACATGATATATTTTTAACTAATCATAGGGGTATTCAAGAAACCAATCAACAAAGAAAAAAAACTGGAAAAACCTATTTAAAAACCAGAAAAATTACTTGATGTAGTTCGATTTTGATTTCAGGAAGCTGAAACTAATTGAAACATTTGACAAGACAAAAAAAAATGCAAATAGAAACTTAACTTAATCCTAAAACATTTTTTCCCCTTGCATTTTTGCTTCAACTGCACCTCCCCCTACCCTCTTTCTTTCGCTCCTTTGATTCACAGCTAACCTCATTATGGGTGTCGTCGTCATTGTGAATTCAGCCTGGCTACATCATAAGTCGTCTTGAATTTTGTATGGATCAGTTACTCTGCCTTTCTTTGATAGATGTTGATGCTGTTGTTACTGAATCTAGTTTGGTTTATTAATAACTTTAAACTAAATTTTTCTTAAATATATATTAAAATAATATTTTTATATTTTTTAAAATTTATTTTTAACTTATTTAAAGTAAATAAAAAAAATTAAAAACAAAATTAAACCACAATACCAGACACAAGCCTTGACGTGTTTCCTCATCACAGGACAGGACATCTATTACATGTCCAATCCTCATACCAGCAAAACGCGTGGCTTGCCTTTTCATTTGCAATCATTTATTACTGACCATTCTTAAGAACCAGAAGCTGGAATTCGCTTTTATTTCCGGGATTTTTCACTTTTTCTTTCTTGAAATGCTGTTTGAAACGGGAACTTCCAAGTTATATGCAATTTTTGTTTTCTTGTTGGTATCTTTTCCCTCTGCATTCCTTGCACCAGACCAAGTTATCTTCTCCCTATGCTGTACTGGTGTAACTTTGTCTGAGGTCAAAGCAAAAAAAACCAACCTTGACCGAACCAAACCAGTTTGGTTTGAACCAGTTTTTGGTTCAGTCTGGGTCAAATTTTTCAGAAATTACAACTCCCAGTTTGGTTTGGTTTTTGACCGTGACACCCCTAACTAATGGTATGACAAAATTTGGAGGAAGGGAAAAAAAAAAAAGTGGGGGAAACACAGTAGCTTGAGAGGGGCTCTGAATGAGCAGCTAATAAAGTACAATCATGCCGTTGCTTTCTTACGGGCAAATCTTTGCAAAGCCGTAGGTAATGAAATTTCCTCGCTGATTTTCTGCTTCTTCTTAGCCACGTTTTCTTCCTCCATTTGTTTCTCCAAGAAAGGTCTCTTGGCTCTTTCAACAATCTTCTTTTTCTTTACCGCTATTTTGCTTGGCTTATTTTTCCCCTTCGTTTTCTTCCGAATGGCAGTTCCCTTAGCTGCTTCAACAACAGCTTCCATCTCCGCCTCCTTCTCCTCCTTTGTTGGTTTATCTTTCTTCTTTGCCGACTTGACTGTACCGATCTTTGAAGGGTCCAGCATGATCGTCTCGGGTGGGAGCTTGTCAAGAAGAGAGTGGATTTCCTTCTCTCTTCGTTGTTTGGATGTTTCAAATGGGTTTGCTAACCATGTGTCGAAGTTTGGTTCCCCTGAACCTGGGATAAGAATTGAAGACCATCCCATGGAGTGCCCTATACCTAGAACATCTTCATATGGTCGAAATGCCACTTTCCCTATCTGGTAACCTTTCACAATGGAATGTCCCATATATCTACTATAGATCCGTGATCCTGAGAAATCTCCTAGAATCTGAACATACGATCCAGTTCCAGCAGCTAGTAAACCTTTTTGACTGAAGTCTAAGGTTTTTGCATGGCCTGGTATATTTTGGAGAACCTCGAATTTCCTCAAGTCCCAAATCTTAATTTTCTTTTCTTTTCCAGAAGTGGCCATGAGATTGCCATTGGGATGAAATGCCATTGCTGTGATAGGTCCAGGATGACACAGCATCTTGACAAGGGGAACCGCACTGGTGGGCTTCCACATGCTTACTGTACCACCTGAATGACCCAAAGCAACAACCCCGTTGAAAGGGTTGGCCAGCATCACATCAGTACGGCCTAAACCTGTCCGGAAATTGCTTATCATCTCACCCATTGTAACATCTTGGTATCGCAGCTGCCCAAATTTGTTTATTGACACCAATAGAAAGTGGTTTTTCAAAAACTGAAGCCTTGTCACCGCACCATGTTCCTGTAAGCCACCAAAATAACGCAACTTAATCCCATACTTCTGTATTCATATAAACATTTGGCATGGTGGAAAGTAACAAAGAATTAAACTTGAAATTTGCATCAAACATCAAGAAGTCTGTAGCCATGCAGTACAAATTCAAAGGAAACGTACTGTGTTGCAGGATGCAGAACAATCTTGCGACAGTGCAAAGACAGCCAATAGAAGCAAAATAAATTACTTTAAGGACTGGTTTACAGAAACTAGGCCTAATACTTCATAACTGAGAAGAAAAATAATTCAAGTTCATTTATACCCAAGAAAGATACTGCAAACTTGTATTTTATAAGGTTCCCAATGAATGAAAAGGTCTTGCAGCAGCTTAAAGCAATATAAAATTCATCAATAGACAATGCACTGACCTTTAAACAATGAAGTTCAACACCATCTCTGTTATAAATGTATGGGTACCTATCATAACTCGAAATTATTAGCTATAAAGAGCTACACAAAAAATTGACCAAAAGTATATTACAACGTTCACATTTGTTCAGGCAAGTAGTCACACTGTATGTTCTTTTATCTATTTTCTGGGAAAAAGCCATACTTTTTCTGGGCAGCAGCAAAGAACAGCTCATTGTGCAAAAACAGGATATCTCGCACTGTTTCTCTAACCTAAAAGAATAAAATTAATGAGTACATCAGTCTAATTTCCAGTAAAGGCCTGGTAAAGATAAATGCCAGTAAGAGATGCAAAGTAATGCTGGCATATAAATATCCATTTTGTCAATTTATATAAAAGGTCTCAACCAGAACCCAGTTGCGTCTCATTAAGGGTCAGATCAACCTGGCAACCCCAGGACATACCTGCATCTCTTTTATTAAGCTCATGTTCTTCATGTCAACAACTGCCAAGTGGCCCTTGCGACCAGCAGCTGCCATGTATCGACCACTTGAGGTGAAATCCAGGGTGTACGGACCAAAATCTGCACATTTCAGTGAAAAAAGGCCTCAGAAGTTTCCTCAGGCCATTAGCCAAAGGATTGCATCCAGGCAAGAATATGACATAGCATTACAGTTAAAGAAATTTTTTTTTGAAGCAGACTTAATTAAGGAGGCAAAGATGTTTTTGAATTTAGAAACGTAATTTTGCACTCCTGGAATAACCATAGCTTCAGGCTATTTTATAGTTCATGAGAAAGGCCTAGCACAACATAGATAAGACAATATGCAATGTTTTCCCAAAAAATATTTAGTAAAACAGATCCATGATGTTCAGCATTTCTCTCTGCTTGTTCTCTCAGGTAAATCAAAATTGATATGGGAAATGACAGACTCAAACCCAAACAACATACATTGCTAAGTTATTCAAGAAGAGAACCTGGAAAATGGCTACAAAATTGTCTTTGTAAACATTCTGGCTAAAAAACATTTTGATTGCAAAAAAACCATTAGAAAGGAATCGCACAGCAGACAAGAACCTGGCAAGACTATATCATATTGATTCTTTGCGCTTGAGATATCAACTTCACGATTGATTGCGTCCTGTTTGATCCTCCACGTCTTCTCTATACCCTCAGCCTCTAGATAGCCTCCCTTGCTTGGCATAAGCCACTGATTAAAAAGAACACATGTTATAAAGTATTCAAATGAGTGAAACGCATTGTATATTTTCTTGCAGAAAACAGTGGGAGGAATGACAAGCAAAATCTAGCAGACATAGAACTATAAAAAATTAGTATCTCAGACCACACATAAAACATTTGGAAAAACAAAGATGTTCCCCATTAATATGTAATTCACAAAAAATTACTCGTGAAAGAGATTTGTCCCCTTAATTTTTTTAGAACTAGAGAATGAAAAAGAAAAAAGGGAGAAGGGAGAAGATTTGCTATTATCCACCTTTTCAGCCTTGGCAGCAGCTTTTGCAGATATTCCATATAAATCTTCCCTAACAGAGAGTTGACCCTTAAGCTTTTTGTCTTTTAAAACCTGCAGATAGAGAGAATTAAATCAAAATGCAATAAAAAAACTCCTCCAAAGAAATAAAAGTTCTTCGGCTGGAAATGTTGGACACCAATTTCTGACCTCCAAATTCGCCCCTTCTCCTCTAAGATACTTCTTTACTTTCGTATCCAACTCGTGAGACAATTCCTGCAAACAAAAACTAGCCACTATCATTTCTGTGGCCTTTAACAAACATGAGCAGCAAATAATGTTTATGATGATCATCAAGTAACAATAAAGTCGAATAATCACATGACAAACAACCTTTTTCTACATCCAAAGCAAGGTCATTTCCCTGTAAATCAAAGAATCGAATTACCTGCTCAATAGGAGGTAAAATATTCTCAGGATCACCATTTTCTTGTTTCACGCCCATCTGGCCACTTAGAATTTATGTGCCTAAACTGCAGGATAAAGATAATTACCAATAAAACCCCTCATTATTCATTAATCATGTATTTACCAAGATTGCCAAAAAAAAACCATCTAGCACATTGCATGAATTCAAAATCAAACAAGCATACGAAGAACAAGCAAACCCATAATTTTCTACTTAATTGATCCAAAAAAAAAATCCTCATTAAAACCTTAAATTTCAAAACTTCGGAACTTGAAAGCAAAAAAATTCACAGAATAAAAACTAAATAGATTAAACGCAGATGAGCTAAACAGCAGACACAACTAATTGGATGGCTGTCACAGATTTTCTCAACAAAAAAAAAAGCAAAAGGGTACTCGAAAAGTTAAACAATACTTGCCTAAGAAATAAACTTTATGCTGAATTTGCACTGACTTTTTGTAGACAAGAGTTGTACAACTTGTATAACACATCACACAAAACCCAAGTTTTGCAAACAGGTATAAAACAATACAATAAACACACAAGTTATGATTTAATGAAGAAACTGCTGTCAGGGTTAGTTTTAATGCGTGTGTATATTACTGTGTTCTTTCAAGAGTAGCAGAGACAACTTGGAGGGGAGATGTTTTTAGGTTTTTTAGTAAAAGAAAGCAACTGAAAATCTCTTTATGGTTGAAGTTTAGTATTGTTTTCTAGCTGGAAAAAAATTTAAGAAAATTACAGTGCTTGTCTGTGCCTGGGTCGATGCTTGATCTGCTGCGACGGGGGTTTTTTAGGGTTCTTGCAGTGTTCAGTATGGCTGAGTTGTGAAATTTGTAAGAACCAGAATAAAATAATTTGGGCTTTTCTTTTCTTTACTGGGCCACTTATTGAGTTGTGAAAGAAGTTTAAGAACATTTATTGTGCTCATTGAGCCCAGCCCAAGATGTAAAATACTTTTATAAGCCTGCGAGCCCAGTAAAAAATGGAGATTTATTTCATTGTACTAATTTGTCTAGTTGCCGTGGTGATGCTGAGGTACGAGGATAATTTTATGAGCGATGAAATTGAAAATTTTATGTCGTTTTGGTGGCAAGAAGAAAAGTTCTTCTTTTTTTCTTCACGAAAGTACTATAGTTTTAAAAAATTTAAAAAATATATGAAATTCATATTTTATTTGAGTTTATTCAAATTAGTTTAAATATTAATTGATTGGTACAAATTATTCAAATTTAATTAAACCAATATTTAAATTATTTTAAAAAAATATTTAACTTGAACAAGATTTAAGATCACCAAATTATTGAAATAAACAATCAAATTATATTAAATTTGATAAGCATATCAAAGTAGTTGAAATTTGTTGATTATAGTATTTATATAGAAAATTCTATTTAGCATTTAATTTCAAAAAATTATCACCAAAAAATAATTCTAAGAGAGTGAACAAATGCTTGTATAAAAATCATGAGTTTGGAATATATTTATATAAATTAATATCATTTGGATCATAGTTTTAAGATTTGTCCTGATTTAAGATCCGAGTTTCGAGTTTTGATCGGGTCACGGGATTGGCTAGGTCAAATTTTATTTTTTTTATAAAAATTAAAATAATATTGTTTTAATAAAAAAATAAAAAAAAATAAAAATTAACAAATTTGTAACCGGGGTCTTGTAGGTTGCCAAGTTATATTAATTTTTTTTTAAAAATTTAGTCTGATTTCAGCTCCAAGTTAATCAAATTCTAAATTAACCAACCAAACCGGCTACAGTTTCGAAACTATGTTATCAATTGAAATGGGTTTTGTTTGATATTTAACATACGGCAGGCACAAATCCTTGACGCAAGCTGTGAAGTGCAGCCCATTTGTTTTTTTAAAAAAAAGCAGTTGGTGCATTTGCCTGTGTTAGCATGTATTTCTTCCATCAACCACATTTATCATATATTCGGTCAAATCTCAAATGCAAAGGTCATTGGATTAATTATTTGTACACTTATTTTTTTATTCTATATATATATATTATTTCTATCCAGCAAGGTTTTAATCAAGCTAGATAAATAATTAAAATCAACAAAATCTGATTAATTGAAGTCGAATAGCTGTGTTTTAGCTTAAAAAAGACAAAAAAAAAAAATGAACAATGCCAACTTGGCACTATAAAAACCGTCTTCCCCGCGGAATTTTAACAGAATATCCACTGACACACCAAAATATCCACCAACACTCCAAAGCGTTGACTTTTCAATACTTTTCCACTCTCGTGCAAACGTGTAAGGTAGGCTCCACACACACACACACAAAAAAAAAAAAAAAAACCAGCAGTAATACTCTTGTACATCTCGGTGTCATCGTTCGCAAGTTGCTGGGCTCCAAATATTGTCCAATATATCCAGGATTTTTCGGAGGAAAAGTTCTCTCTTTCTCTGCCTCTGCCTCTGCTTTCTCTGCCCCTGTTTCTGTTTCTGTTTCCATAAATAGAAAGGGAAAGGAATCCAACAAAACAGCAACAAAGACAAATCCTTTCTTGTGTTTATCAATGGAGTCAGGACAGGGAACTGTGACATGCGGGTCATGGATCCGGAGACCCGAGAACTTGAATCTTGCTGTGCTTGGCAGGTCATCGAAGAAGAAAAATTCTGCCTCTCCTTCTGTTCTCGAGATCTTCTCTTTTGACACTGAGACAACTTCTCTCTCAACCTCTCCTCAGGTTTGTTTCTCCGCTACCCTTAACGACATGTCGTTTAAGTTGTCTCTGTTCCGGAAAAGGGAGACCCTTTTTCGTTTCTATATTTCTGGTGCATTAATGGGTTTATATATATATATTGATCGTGGGTTGTTTAGGTAACTTATGTGTTTGAAGAAATAGAAGGTGAACTGGTGACAATTGCAGTGCATCCAAGTGGAGATGATCTTGTGTGTTCTTCGACTAAAGGTGGATGCAAGTGAGTTCCTTGATTAATAATTTTTCAAATTTAATTCTCTACAAATTAATGTATCGAAGAATTTTTTAAAAGAAATCATGGCTCTGCTGTTTTTCTGACATTCAAAAGATTGTGACTTGGAAGTTAAAAATGCTTGTTTGAATTCCCTCATTTATCGGAAAGATAATTTCTTTTTAAGTTGAATGAGTTCAGAGAGATTCTAATTTGTGTGTGACTTGAATGTGTATTTGTCCGTTGAACAAGTTTTTGTAACATTGGGTTGGTTTTTGTTGTGACATGCAGATTGTTTGAGTTGCAGTGTCAAGAAACAAATTTAAAGTTGCTAGCCAAAGATTTACCTCCTCTCCAAGATGTTGGTCCACAGACATGCATGGCTTTCAGTGTTGATGGGTCTAAGTTTGCTACTGGTGGGGTGGTAAGCTATAATTTGTGATTTAAACAATGGTTAGCATCAGCTTGCTTTTGGTTGTCTTCCAAACGTCTGTATGTACAGCTGATATGTAGTATGGTGTCTTTTATTTGATCAATTACAGGATGGGCGTTTAAGAATTTTGGAGTGGCCAAGTTTGCGCATCATTTTGGACGAACCAAAAGCACACAAATCTGTCAGGGATATGGATTTTAGGTTAGTGTTTCTTTCCCACTTGCGTCCTATGTAATAATTTTCTATGTGCTGTGTGAATGCATATGTTGATAAATGAGAAATACAATGCATCCGAATGCCTGTCAGTGTATCAGTAACAAAGGTCAATGGTGTCCCCTCCAGTTTCCCATCGTGAGATGTGCTTTTTAAGAAATAAACAAAGGCTTAGCCTGTTTTTGGAGGTTTTGTAGAAGAATCTTGGGCCATTAAAGGGTTATTTTTTCTCCTTCAATCCTAGCTACTGAAATGCATGCCTTTGTTTATCATATTCTAGCCTGGATTCAGAGTTCCTAGCATCAACATCTACTGATGGTTCAGCAAGAATATGGAAAGCAGAAGATGGTTCACCTGTGGTTTCGTTGACTCGCAACTCAGTATGTTTTATTTAGAGTAGGGATTTGTCCTGTTGGGTTTCAGATTTTGGTTGGATCTTTTTGCCAATATGGTCTATATTTGCCTGCAGGATGAAAAGATTGAATTGTGCCGCTTTTCCAAGGATGGGACAAAACCATTTTTATTTTGTGCTGTGCAGAAAGGTGTCCTCATTAGTATCAATGTAGCTTGTCATTTTATTTAGCCATATCAAAAATCATTCTTAACTTGTGAATATTGTTGATTCAGGTGATAAAGCTGTTACTGCAGTTTTTGACATAAGTACATGGAATAAAATTGGGTATAAGAGGCTACTTAGAAAGCCTGCTTCCATCATGTCTATCAGCCTGGACGGGAAATATCTTGCTTTGTAAGCACTCTCCATTTACCCTTTGGACTTTTGCAATCAATTATCTAGGTTTCTGCAGTAACTGAACTCATTTATTTTTATCCTTGTTTATCGTTCAGAAGACACAAATCAATTTCATTTTATCTTTTTTCAAATCTTTAGCCTGAAATCCATCAGTAGTGACCCAATACCTTCTCTCTTCATTGTGAAATGGGTTTGCACAGCTCATTCTCTTAGTGAAAAAGAGAATTCAACTTGATGTTCAAATATGTTTAGGATAGGAGTGCAAGGTTGTTGAAATCCTGCTCTCTTGCTGACTGCAATGACGCTATCGAGCAAATTTGTGGCAAGCTGGCAGTATAGATTGCTTGCAAAACTGTGAGGACCAGTTACATTAACATGTTTTTTTTTCTTTTAATTCTAGAGGAAGCAAGGATGGAGACGTGTGTGTAGCGGAAGTTAAGAAAATGGAGGTTTCCCACTTGAGTAAGAGGCTGCACCTGGGTACATGTATCACGTCACTAGAGTTCTGTCCCGGTCAAAGGTAAGGTTCATCCACGCCTTTTGCTCTGTAATTATAGATGATCAGCTTCATGGTACAAGGACCCTCTAAATGTTTCTTCTAGCTCACAAACTTTATTTTCACCTTTTCTTAATCCTTTTAATCCTGCAAGTATAGTTTTCTTCCTTGGCTTCTTTGAAGCACAAGTGTCCCAGTCACCATTTTGTGATTCCAATTTGTATTATTTAAATTGCAAACTATAGGAGATTGTTTATTCACCTCTGGGTTTTTCTGCGCAGGGTTGTGCTCACTACTTCCAATGAATGGGGAGCAGTGGTGACTAAGTTGAATGTTCCTGCAGATTGGAAAGGTCTTGTTTCGCACTCCCTCACTCTCTCTCACACACACACTATTTACGTTGTGGATGCACGCATCCTTAAGAGACTGATCCTTCCTCCCTCTCCTGTGCAGAGTGGCAGATATATTTACTGCTAGTAGTGCTATTTTTGGCATCTGCTGTTGCATTTTACATTTTCTTTCAGAAGTCTGATTCATTTTGGAACGTTCCACCTGGAAGAGATCAACCTGGGAAACAGTTCGAAATTTTAGATCCACAGTACTCTGAAGATGCATTTGGACCTGTAGATATGTGAACAGTTTTTAGACACGGTCACCAGAAGTCATGGGTTGTATCATCATCATGTTACAAAATAAATAGTTTAAGATTCCTCATTTGATCCATTGCAACTTTCAACTTGATCTTTTTTTTGGAAAACGTTGCGCAGTTGAGGCTGCTTCTCTTTTACTCGAGTATCTACAAGAAAATGCCCCCCCGGGCTTGAATTTAGTAAACTAGCAGAAATTTAAACAGGAAAATAAAACTCAGCCTTGTTTTGGGACATTGAAATATTTTCACGAGCGGTTCCTTCAAATAATCAAAACCCATCTCTATTTCTGAATGAAAAGGGCTAACATTCATGCGGCAGAAAGAAAGAGGTTCGAAGGAGGGGGGCGAGTGGGGGCGATGTTTTCAGACAACGAATAAATATTATTAATGAAGAATTTTCAAGCACGTCTTGATAGTACTTCAGGATCCATCCGCTAATGGTCTCAATTTCTATGCAATGTGAAGGTGCTCGTTGCATGAACATGAATTACCTTGGTTGTATATACTGCCAGAATGCTATCTGATATGTTCCAGCCTACAAAACATTTAACTTGTGACGTCATATATGCCAGAGTAAAGGCTTGAAAGATTCAGAAACAAAAACAACTCTGAATGTAGATGACCCCCCCGCTGCAAGGATCGCGGAGGCCATTGGAGAAGATAATGTTGCTGGCCAACCTCCCGAGCACCTCTTTAAAATGCTGCAATTTCACATTGCAGAAAAAAAAAAAACAATAAAAAAACAGAATGGAGCTCATATCAGCCTTTAAATCGCTACTATGAAAATGCATAAAATCAACTGAAATTTCACACACGGTTTGAACAACACATGACCGCCATAGCAAGTTGTTATCCAAAGAGGCCTAGAGGGGGACTCCATATTTGCTTTTGCATTCTTCAATGTACTCCTTCAGATCAAATGGTCTGCTAGAAGCCTAGAAACATGGTATCATTTTTACCACGACCAATCGGCATCACAAGTTCGCTACATGTCTATCAAACACCAGCAGAAGAATTAACTGGTATTAATTATGTGATTTATTATAATGCTGGATGTTATAATTGCAGAATTAAAACAAACTTACCCAACAAGTCCGGCCATCCAGTGTTTCTGCTGAAAAGAATGCGTCTAGATTATAGCAAAGCTTTTCTCAGAAGTAAGCAACGATTCCAGAAAATATCTTGTCGAGTACATCACTTCCTTCTGTAGCTGAATCAATACCTTTGCAAACAGGGTCAACTGGGTATCTTGGAGGTCTATCATATTGAGCTGCTACTGAAAAGAAACTGTCCAAAAAGTTTTTCAACTCTTCAGCAGCATCCAGTGTTCTGTTAGCCATAGTTAGAGGGAGTTATGGGTTAATCGATCGGAAACTAGCATAACGAATTGAGTTAGCAGTTAAAAGCCATGAGAAGTGAAAGACTTGGATGGTTAAATACATGCAAGTATTGAGCTTGTTTTGAAGGATAGCTAGACCATTTGCTTTTGCAGCAACTTCATCAATTTCAGACCATGACTGTTTTATGGTTTCTTAGCACCTCTCACTCGAATCCTTCATGTGGTCAGAAAATCAGACCCAACAATTCAAAACATTCTCTGGGGTAGAAATTTAGAGAGGAATACGAGGATATTATCTAAAATAAAGAACTCGGGCGGAAGACGCTAGTGCCCCTGGTGGGATGTGAGGATATTTCAGCCGAAACCAAGCAGCAAGCACTTTAGCAAAAACAAATGGTGATCAAATTGTGTTTCTATATTGATTAGGAGTACTGAATTTAGTGGATATTCAAAATAATTTACTTCCTCAATTCTCCGTATGATCCTCCAAAAACCATAACTGGGGTGGAATCGGCCGGATATTTTTTCTTAATGTGTAGGAGCACTTCAGCATAATCTGGTAAAGCTTGAGAAGAGCTGCAGTATCCGCGGAGATTTGCATCTTTTAGTGCTTCGGGGATTGATTCTCCGTAGAGACGACGCTGCATTGGAAATTATAGGTGAAAACGAATCATTAATGTTCAACCTTTAATCTCGGTGTGCGAAAGCCGACTAATTAAAACCAAAAACAAAATAATAATAATAATAATATTTTAGCCGAAAGGAAAGATGGATTTCTCTGAGAATTTTTCTACTCACCTCTATGCACACTTGTAAAGCACCAAATCGAGCTACATTATCAGAGAGGATTCCTATAGAACCAAGATCATCATTCAAAGAGGATTCCTCTCCGAGATAGGCAAATACTGGAGCCATTTTATTGGCACTCACTCCGATGCTAGAAGCTCACTACATATCTAGGCCGAAAGCCTTGTAACTTTCAGTCCTTAATCGAAGTGATCAAGTGTTTAGTTATAATAAAATGTTTTAAACACCTGATCCGATGAGGCCAGAGAATCAACCTTAACTTTTCCATGGTGATTTCTTGCACCAGAAGGCCCTTGCACTCCAAGTCTTGGTATTTTTTATGGTGAAACACAAAACACTCATGTTGGAAAGAAAAGAAAATCAGTCATGGTGAAGCACAGAACGTTTTGTAGTTTAGTTAACGTTGTTCTTTGATCCGAATCTTGATTGATTAAGATGACCCTGTCCATGTTAGACAACGCAGCTTTCACGTACCTGGTGCCATGAGCAATGGCTCGAAGGCGAAAATACAGCTTGGACCGTTCAAAGTCAGCTCGAGCAAGGCTTCAGTGGGTTATCTTGTCAGATCCAATTTTGAAGCTCAGGCCATTACTTTTTTTTTTTTTTTAAATCAAGTTACATTTTGGAGTCTCTCTCTTTTTTTTTCTCCCGATAATAAAGGCTTTTTTTAGGTTAATTTATGTCTGGATTAAAATAAAACTCATTTTTAAAAAAATTTAAAATATGATTGTCTCAACCAAATAAAACTCATTATGAGAAGTTTAATAGAATCTTCTAAATATTAGCCTAAATTTAAGCTCATAAAAAAATGAAAAATCATATTTTCTTAATTACCATCCAAACTCTTGATGGTTCTTGGAATTAGTCTACCTGAACACGTCATTATTGATTACGAACTTATAAATCCAATCAAGTATATCTATACAGATATTATCATGAAAAATTTACTTTTCAGAATAATAATAATTTTTTATTTAATATCCAATGGTATTTTCAAAATAATCTTATGCATCAGCAAGGGTAAACCTATATCTTTAATATATTAAAAAAATATATCATTCATGATATTCACGAATATTATCATAAAACTTGATTTAGAATAAATCTAATATCCACTTCACGTGGCCTTAAAATTTTAACATAACTGGGCTACAGCTTAAGCCCAGTTAGACCATCTGAGCTTCGATCAAAATTACCTTCTTTTCCCGTGTTGTAGGCCCCAGTTATAAATACTAGAAGTATTCAAAAAAATAAATAAATTAATCAACCAATTAAAATTAAAACATATATAAAATACTTTATATATTTTAAAATATTAAAATTACCTTCTTTTCCCGTGTTGGAGGCCCATTATTTTATATTGTTGTTTTTAGTAATATAAAATATTTAAATAAATAACTAACATTTTATATAATAATAATAATAAAAAAAAAATTACCTGCTCAATGGTGTTCGCGCAACTCTCATTTCTTTGAATTTTGGTTCGGTCCCAGTGAGAATAGAGCTGAAAAGTTGTTTCCTTCATATTTCTACTGAGTTTTTTTTTGTATGGTACACCTGTTACCCCGCAATGCCTTATTTATTTACTGAGCTTGCAGGATGTTTAGTGGGCCGTGAAGTTAGTTGTGGTGGGCGCAAACTGACTCAAACACCCACGTTAATAAAAAAAAAATAAAAAAATAGTAATAAAAGGTATAGTTTAATTGATCAAATCCCGATCCAGTTTGAGTCACAAATCGTAAAGTCATTAAAAATTTGTATAATTATTAACTTTAAATCTCATGAAATTAATTAAAATATACATAAATTAATTTAAAAATTTATATTAATATAAATAAAATACAATAAAAAAATTGATTAAGAGATTATATTTTCCGGTTACAAAAAAATAATAATTAAACTTGACTGAACCAAACCAATTCCCAGTTCAGTTTAATCCATTCTCCTATTCGGTTGGAATTTCAAACTTAACACGAAGCAAACTGTCACGGAGAAGAAAATATAATGGCTATCTTGGAGAGTCTTTCAAAAAGCGATCCTCTTTTCATTCCAACCCAAGTAAAACGAGGTAATAGTGCATTTGGCCCCTTTATTCTCAATTTTCTTCATTTTAATCCTTCGATTGTCTTTAGTATGATACCCAATCCATTATTTTTCTCTTCAAATTAGTTGGCTAATCATATCCATTCGGTTTCCATAGGTATTTCTTATGTTCATGAGCCTCCCCTAGGCTATCTTAAGCTGCTATTGTGTGCCATTCTCCTGAGGCATCACCCTCCTCCTTTTGATTGAAAAAACATAATCTCCATGGTATTGGATCAGGTAATTATTTGCTCAATAAATTTTAATTGTATACCAATATCATCATTTACGCAACAATAACATGACCTGTCGGTAATACGAAATTATTTAGTCTTAATAACTTTTTTTTAAATTTTTTTATAGTTAATCTTGTCAAGTTTCGTATACTCAACCTATTCGGTTTTGATTCTACTTAAATTTAAGGGTATTTTTTTTAAGATTATTTTTTTTTTAATATTAATTTATCAAAACCATAAAGAATACTCTAAGTATCAATTTAATTTAATATCTGAAAATACTAACAAAAGCCGTGCCACGTAGGCATATACCCCTTCGAGCGGTGAATTTCCCCGGTGGGTTGGGACTTGGGACCTGTCTAATAACTATCAACTCAGATACGAAGTCCGCTCTCACTTCACTCCACTCCACTCTGTCGCGCAGATATTTTTTCTTTCCGCTTCTAATGAACTGCCTTCACTGTCTTCCAAGGTCTAACTACACACAACCTCTAAACATTTCTTTCTTTCTTTTCCTCATTTTCTAGGATCCCTTTTCTTAATTTCTTGTTTGGTTTGCAGATCATCCTCTGCCTTGCCTTTGCAAGGCTTCAATTTTTACCAAAGAAGACCATCTTCACCATCATTATTCTCTCTTAACATGGCTGTACATTCTCCTCCTTTAGCATAATTCGCGCTCTTTTTTTTTTAGTTTTTCTTATTCTCGTTATATATGAATTTATTGATGCAGGGAACCAAGAATTCTAGTGATTTGCGGTTACGTGTAGCTGTGAAGGTAACTAAAAAACAGCTTCCGATTCGTTTTTTTTATATGAAGTTAAAGCTTCTTCAATCTCTTTGCTTTGCTCTACGGCTTACTATTTATTACTTCAACCTTTTCTTTTTGGTTCATTTCTTTTAATTTTCCAATCTTTTTTTATATTTGTCTGTTAGAAATTCTGAATAACGTAATGCTAGTTTTATCGAAAATCTTTCTTGAAACATCTCGAGGGAGAGTCTCAGCCATTAGATTCGTGGGACCTACTAGTGGGACCCACAATGAGATATTTATCGTGGGATTTTTCTGTGAATTTTTTTCCCGGGAAGAATCTTTCTGTAGAATCTTGTATTACTGACAAGAATTCACATATTAGATATTTTGGAGTTTAAGGGTTTCTTTGGTACGTGTTTAGAAGATATTTTTGAACTTTAGTATTGATTAATGTTCCTTGTCCTTCTTTTTGTCTTTTCTCATAAAGTTTGCGTTTCTTAATGATATAATTTTTGTTTTTTGATTGTGACGTTGAATAATTCCTAGAGCAAATTAAAGTGATCCCATGAATCAAGAGGCGGGAATTGATTCGTGTTGCACCTTTTGCTGTGTGCGTGGTTTGACAGCCAAAAGCTAATATAATCAGTAGTTTCGATGATAACTAAATGATTCGGGCGATAATTGATTAATTGTTTTTTTCTGATAATGAATGCGTTCTTCTGAGTGGTTCATCTGCTGCAGTTTGTTGGGTTTCAAAATTAAAATCTTTTCTAATAGATGATTGTTATTTGATGCTGTTGCCTGTAGGCAATTCCCAGCTCACCATCCAGTGCTGAGATGAGCGGTGCTGATGCTGAGGAAGAAGAGGAGAAATCTGAGATATACAGTCATAACATGACTGAAGCTATGGGGGCTGGTAAGTTTGATGCTGCTTGTGGCTGGAGAATCGGGTTGTGATGTTTTCTATTTGAATAGACTGTGTAATTGTTTGGATTTTTATAGTGTTTAAAGTGCTTTAAGAGCTACCTTTAGTTCCATATGAGCAAATTCGATTGAGCTAAATGTTTGTTCTAATATATTTTTAGTACAGTTTTGACCTATAGGCACGAACTAGGAATGAACTATAACTTCATTCGTCCAGATTTGATTGTCGGATCATGCCTACAGGTGATTCTCATTTGTTAGCTCCGTCTATGAAGGGATTCTATTCCCTCTGAAATGCTCTCTGATTTTTTGTTTCCCATATTGTTCTCTAATTACTCTTTTCAAATTTCTAGACTCCTGAAGATGTTGACAAGCTTCGAAAAATTGGAGTCAAAACCATATTTTGCTTACAGCAAGATCCAGACTTGGAGTATCCTAAATAACTTTGTCTTCATGATCTGATGGAAGCTTGATTATTAGTGCTTACA